TAAAGCTTCAAAACAGAGATGTTAGAATCCAAAACCAGGGATTAACTCTGTGCAGAAAGCCACAAAATTTCCTTACTCTCTTCAAAAGCTAAAGCAATACATAAACCCGTATTTTAAGAAACTGTTATTCTTTTGAAGTTACTGGCAATTTGTAACAAATAGCACTGAATATTAGAATTAAATCACTGTCAAAAAAAATCCTTTAAAAACATTAAAATACACAATCAAACATCACTCTGCTCCCTCTCAAAATGAAAAGCCCTCACAAGAATTCCATTAGATCAAACCTAGAAAGATATCACATTCAAGGTAAGAGCATATATATATATATAAAACCATTGAAGAATTAATTATTTTATTAAAAATTAATATCCATTTGATTTTTTATAAAAGCAAACTAATTTTTTGCAAATGCAATTATATTAGGTTTTACAGTCAAGTAGACTATGACAACATTAAGCTTTAGAAAAAAAGGAAAATGAAATTCTAGGACAAAAGAATGCAAAAATAACTTACATTATTAGCTATAATTTTTAAAAAACTGGGTAGCCAAAAAAATTTAAAAAAAACAAGCCCAATACATATACGAATTCCAAGAGTGAGAAGACAATGAAGGTTGAAAATGCAAAACAGTCATGCCACCATAAACATCTATTTTGGCATATCCTAAAGAGTACTGTTGTTATAGATTAGCAGATTCTGATTGCATATAAATATTACTTAAAATTATCATTTTTAGCTACTTTTAAAACTAATATGCTTGACGTGGCGGTACACACTCAACAGGCTGTGAGCAGGAAGACCACTGTGAATTCGAGACCAGCCTGAAATACACAGTAAGACCCTTTCTTAAAAAAAAGCCCCAAACAAGCCAAACCAAAACAAACAAAAAACAAATGCTAGTTATAAGTGAGTTTACATATAAAAATATATTTCATCCTAACATGCTGAACTTATATATATCAAAAGCAACCAAATTCTATCACAAAAATACTACATCATAAAATTTTTAAGCAGAGCTCAAGTATCAATTATGACATCTGTCATTATGAGTATCAAAATAGTCTATGGTTGAAGACCAAGCTCAGTCTAATGTCCAAAATTCCCATAATTAGAGAAAGCATACTCAATGTTCTTAGAAATATATTTAAAGTTCAAACATTTATGTAAAATTTCCTGATATGATTACAGCAATCAACACAGTAAAATGTAATTTTTAGATCTGCATAACAATATAAAAGATTTGGTGCAAAAAATGTTCACATATTACAGGTAGTAATTTCCCTTTTTAAGATGAAAGCTTTTACCTTTACCTATCTATATAATCTTATATATTTTCTCATTATTATTAGAACTTGAAATTCTGAATTTATCCCTAGAGAACTTGAATTGAATGTAACACGCATACACTGTTTTAAAACAGTTAAAACAAATTGGCCTCTTCAGTAACCCACCAACCTACCACCATTTTTTTTTTCTTGTCTGTATGTATTTACATTTACATAGCTGAAAGTGAAAACCATTTTTAAATATTTATACACTGCTTTTCATACCTTAGTCTTAGAGAAAAATTATTTTTTCAGAGAATATCTTTAAGCATTCTAATGTCTTTATAATTTTTCTCATATTTAGGTCATTCTCCCTAATTCCTACTATTAAAAATAACAATGAAAATGCATTTTTTTTTTTTTGTATTATATGTTTAGGGCAAATTCTCTGAAGTGGAACTATTAGATTAAAGGATACTGTATCTTTTTTTTTGGTGGCGGGGGTGGGGGATGGGGGGAGAGTCTCACTAAATTGTTAACTTGCCCAAGTTGGGCACAAATTTGCACTTCTCCTGCCTAGGCCTCCAAGAGACTGGGATTACAGGTTTTTGCCACCATGCCTAGCTTTAAAAAAAATTTTTTTTTGGCTTAACAAAAAATTTTTGATGGAGGCCTTCTCTAAGTATTAATTTGCCTAATTAATATTTATAGAAATGCTTTGGTATATCTATTGTTTTTATAATTAGCAATTTATTAAATAGAATAAAAATCACACTGATATTAAAAATTCCATGGCACTTTTAACATCCATTTAAAGAAGTAAATCTTAATAGAAAAAAAAAAATTTAGCTGGATGTGATGGTGTATTACTGTTTGTAATCCCAGCTGCTCTGGAACTGAGGCAGAAGGATTGATGATTTGAGGACCACCTCAGTAACTTAAGCAAGAAAATAAAAGAAAGAAAATGAATTTATTAGTCTGATGATGAGTTTACTTATAAACTAATTATCTAATGACTGTTTTTTAAGGTTCATCACTCAACAAAAACAAGAAACACTCCATCTGGCCCTTCCCTAGCTCACAGACAAAAAGTCCAAAACACAATGTCTGGCACATCTCCTCAGCAATTCCTTCAGGTGATGGGACTTCTTAAAAACTCTATAGCTGAAATTTCATTTAAACTTAGATGAGAGAGGGGAAGAAAGAGAGATTATTAAAGATGATGACAGTCATCTGCTCTCCCTACACAATGAGGTGAGAAATGAGGATGCAGAACTCATTAAAAAAAAAAAAAAAAAAGGTTAAGCTAGACAAAAATTTCAAAACTATGCACTACAAGAACAGATTACTAAAAAATATTGTATAGAAGGCTGTAGAAGGCTTAGGATGTAGCTTCTTATTTATATTCTAAGAGTAATAATGTGACTTATTTATACATTTCCTATTCTTTTATTCTAGTCACTAAGTTTACCGAAATTCACCTTTATACAAGGCTAAGTTGCCTGTGAGGAACTAGAACCAAAACCAAGGCTGAAGCAGAGTTTTAGTCACAAAGCAGATTCCTGCTTTTCAAAAATCTGACAGTACTGGGTACTGAAGTCAAGGAGCTTCATGCATGTGAAGCTGATATACTCTAAATCCCTGAGCAACCTTTCCAACCTCTAAGACTTCACCTTTTATGTTTATAAATACATGTTTGTGGTATACAATTATTACATTTCTCACAGGGGTTGGCATATTGGACATCTTTCCCTCCCTCTTCCCTCTTCTTCCATGTATTGGTCTTGTTCACTTTGCAAAAGATCCATCTCCTTTTTCCCTATTATCTTTTATTTTGTGCTTCATTATGTAGATTTCTCACATAAGAGAGGCCATGAGATATTTAGGCTTGTGTGTCTGATTTATTTCATTTAATATTATGGTCTAAGGTGAATCCACTTTCCTACAGTTGATTCATGGCAGAGTAGCACTCCATTGTATGTATACACCACTTTTTACTTATCCATTCATCTATTGATGGACACACAGGCTGCTTCCAAGATCTAGCTATTTATGAGCTGTTCTGCTATAAACACGGATATGCATGTATCACTGAAACATAATGTCTTTAACTCTTTTATAGAGATACAGAAGAATGGCTTGGTCAAATAAAATTTTTAGCTTTAATTTTCTGAGGAATCTCTACATTATTGTTATTTGATTTTTTGATGTTGGCCATTCTTTCTGGAGTAAGATGGAAATTCAATGTTGTTTTAATCTGCATTTCTCTGATGGCCAAAGATGTTGAACATCTTTTCATGTATTTACTAGACATCTGCTATTTCATTTTTTGAGAAGTATGTATTTTGGTTCCCCATTGTTTGATTGGGTGTTTTTTGTAAAGAGCCTTATTTCTTTTATTTCATTATATATTCCAGATATTAGTCCTTGACCAAGGAATAGGTGGCAAAAAAGGAACTTTCCCTATCTATAGCTCCTATTTTTGCAAAACTTTAAGATAAATAATAGTCTGTAAAATATCTATAAAATAAATGAGACCAATGGCTATTTCAGCAATATAATTTTGTCCTATTCTCAGAATCTTTATGCTAAGTCCATTAACTGTGGCAGTCAAAGATGTTACACATACATGATACAGCAAGAAATATTCATCAATCAGATAAGCACTTATACAGAAACTTCTAACAAATTTGGATACAATGAGTCAAGAACTCCCTGAATAATTTTTATTAATTTGTTTTATTTACTAAATGAATCAACTACCTATAGAGAAAAGATTAAAATTCCTCTTGGTTCTATATTTGGTTTATAGAAAATCTCATAAAAAGGTATTCTTAATGTTTCTTAATAGTTAATCTAGTAAATGTTTTGTATAACCTTGAACAAGCTAACATGTAGATTCAAAGACAAGACCTAGTTTTAATAAGCCATAAATCCTTACAGCTAACTTTGAAGGCCTGTCTATTTCATCTTTTTTTAACATAAATGATTTTCAGATAGCTATAAATAGCTCCAAAACATTTTTTAAAGTCAAACTGAGATGCACAGCACTAAGAACAATTTAGAAACCGTGAGAAATACATATACTGTATTAGGAAAAGGGGACTTTGAGAGTTCTTGCCTTCTTTTTATAAACTCCACGATTATTTAACTTCTCTCAAACTTTGAACGTACTTCTCTTTGAACTCTATATTAGAAAATATGAAGGTATGAACTTCAATAAGAGATTTCATCCATCCTTTATCCTAAAAGAGCCACTGATATAAGAGGATGTTATCCACTACTATGAGAATCACCATGTAGCACACTATTAAGGCAGCTTGAGCCCATCAGTGATTCTATAAAAATGACATGGCCAAACCATTAAAATGACAAAACTCACATTTCCTGAAGAAGGTAGATTTTATGGAAATGAATCATGTAGCCTATGTAAGTAACAGAATGCCAGTTCAGCACATTCTCAAGAACTAGACTCAAAGTTAAATGGCAAATGACTTAATACTGAAAAATTTATATGGCCTCCTTATTGAGACCTTATTATTAGGAAAATCTATCTTTTCTTATAACCACTGGCCAACTGTCTGATATGCAGGTATCATATAAAAGAACCCATAATCAACTAACAATAGGAGATTAGCCTAAATTCCTTAATTAATCAATAGAAGGAATGAATATAAAAATCAAACTAGTCTAGTTAATTCAATTTGTAATTCTCTCAAATCCAGTACTTACAGTCAAACTTCAGGATCCAGCATCCATTGAGAATCCCGAGCATACACTTGAGAGTACTCTGAGCTTCATGACCAGGAATAATGACATGAGTTACTAAAATATAAAAAAGAGCAGTAAGCATGACAAACATAAACCAAAAGAATTCTATATCTAGACCACTTTTTATAACTGCTTAGCCTATTTTACTAACATATGTGAATTTTCTTCAAAGGTAGCAATTTTTACAATTTTGTATAAGACTTCTTTTATTTAGCACCATTCTCTAACATGGCCATCAAGAGAAAAAAATCAAAGCATTACCATATCTTAAAACCACATTACCAAACACAAATTTTTTGCTATCTTCAAATTATTACTAAGGAATTATGGCATTATGTTGCACTACCATTTGTTATTAGTAAACTCATAAATTTGCTGTTTTGATATACTATTCTGTCGTAAAACATGCCCAAGGCTTTAAACTTTACATTTCCTACTTCATCTATAGTTTATTATTGTAAACTATTTAGGTTTATTAAAAAAATGCAAAATATATAGTTGCATACCAAAGGTTAAAACATACATAAATTATCAAAGAGGTTATTTATTCAAAACTTTTCTACAAAAAAAAAAAAGATCAAAAGTTCTCACCTGTACTGTCAAACTCGGTGCATTTCTTAGCTTTAATCATGGCTGCCAGCTCCCCAAGCATTTTCTGTTGTTCTGAAGAAAGCCCACTGCCTATAAGCACAAGAAGTCTATCTCTACGTTGCCCAGTATTCTCCTGTTGGTGAAAAAGGTGAAGCCACAATAGCACAAAATAAACAAACATATATTCAAAGACTAGGAGACATAAAACACAATTTCACTTGATGGAAGAGTGAATTTCATTATTAAGCTTACTCTATTTAATAATTCTGAAAGATTTATATGGAATTTGCATTCAGAACTTTTTCAAAGCATTTTTTTTTTTTTTTTTTTTTTTTTTTGGTACCGGGGATTGAACTCAGGTCCTTGCACTTGCAAGGCAGGCCACCGAACCGCTGAGCTAAATCCCTGGCCCCAGAGCATTTTAATAACCTATTTCTATTTATCTTGTTTTCCTCCAAAGAAAACATAAATTCATCCCTGACCATTAGAAAAATGTAAATTAAAATAAAACTGAAATTCTACTTTACTCCAGAAAGAATGGCCATTATCAAGAAATTAAATAATAAATGCTGGTAAGACTGTAGGGGAAAAGGAATCCTTCTACACTGTTGGTGGGAATGTAAACAAGTACATTCACTAAGGAAATTCCTCAAAAAACTAAAATTAAAGATTTCACTTGATTCAGCTATTCCCCTTCTAGGTATCTCCTGAAAGAGTTCAAGACATAATATGACAGTGATACATGGATACCTATATTTATAGCAGTACAATTCATGCTAGTTTAATTTTGGAAGCAACCTGTATATCCATCAACAGATGAATGAATTAATAAAATGTGGTATTTACACACAGTGGAGTACTACTACTCTGTCATAAAGAAAGACCTTGAGATCACAATGTTAAATGAAATATATCAGAAACACAAGTTTAAATATCGTATAGTTTCTCTTAAATGAGAGGCCCAAAATATAAATTAAGAATGAAATAAAAGATAATATGAAGAAGGGAGACAGAACTTTTTCAATGAGAAGGGGATCAAGAGTTGGAGGAATGGGAGAAGGGGATGAAAAGAGACTTAAGATGTGTCATGTACATGTGCCAACTCCTCAAAAGGAATGTAAATATTATGTACTACAAATACGTACTAATTAAAAAAACAAATTGGGGTCTCTATGATGTTAAACTCAGTCTATTTAAATTTATCTAAAAAGTCAAAAAACACTAAGGCTTCTAGAATGGGACAGACTCCAAAGAAAGAAAGAAAAAAAATTACCAGATAGTAACCTCTCAAAAAAAATAGACAAGAGAATCGAAAAGTTAGATCAGATCTATGAATAGTGAGAAATGCATGCCACTCAAAAGGAGAAGTGCCCTAACAAAAATTAGTATTTTTGATCTAATATCTGGACTCAGAATTTATAAGAGGCAAGAAAAGACAGAATAAAGAGAAGGTCCCAATAGAGACATAAATACTCTAAGTGAAAGATTCAAATAAACAATGACATAGTGGCTGTAAGAAATTTAATAAACTGAGGGCCAGGGATTTAGCTTAGTGGTTCTACCACCCGCCTCCTAAGTACAAGGACCCAAGTTTGATCCCTGGTGCCCCCCCAAAAAAATGGATTTGAGAGTTAGCTAAAAGTCACCCAATAAAAGAGAAGTTAACAATCCAGTGAAGAAAAGGTAAATCAGCACTACTGTATTAAAGGATCAAATGCACTATGAATACCTACATTGGCTATCAGAGCTTTCTAACATGAGAAAAACAATGAGGCACAACCACGAGTTCAGTTCAGGAACTAGATGAGAGACAGTTAAGTTTTTAAATATTCATTTTACATATCAGAATACTAACAGCTTATTAGTCTCATACCACACATGTATCACATCTAAAATGTTGGCTACATCTATGAACAGATTGATTCAGCTTAGTAATTCATTCACTCAAAATATAAGTGAAAGTTTATTAAAACATCTTTAAATTAGTTCATAAAAACAGAATTTAGAAATTTTTAAATCATAGTATTTACCACTTAAAAGTTCAGCTACCTAAATTAAAGGTTCTGGCAGCAAATATTTTATTGGTTGTGTTACACATCCCCACACACATATTTTTAATCATACTTCTATACATGCATCTTTCCTAGCCACTAAATTATCAGATGATGTAATAAGCCTCAGTGTGCTTATGAATTGTTCAATTACTATACTATGGTATAGTATAGTATTTAATATTTAAAGTTATATTAAAAATTCTTGCCAGTCATACAAGTGTCATAAAACAGCTCTAAATAAAATGCATTACTTCTCAATTTATGCAACTCCACTTGAGATAAATTAGTTCTTTGCACAAAACACAAGAGAAAAGATATAATTTCTAAATATAGCACGTGATACTATTTGTACCGACCAAGGAAAGCACCAAAGTGGGTCAAGCACTTTCCTATCACAGTTTTAAATTTGCATAAAAAATAGAAACTAGCACTAATTTCTTACAGTTAAGGAAGGCTATAAAAAAAAACAGAGCAAACAGCTGCCAAGCCAAATGTCTGATTTGGGGCAGGGCAGCATGCAAGTTGGGGATGTGATTTCAGTAGAGAATTCGCAGAACCACAAGGCTTTAAAGAGGTTCAAAGAAATATCCCAAGGGTTCAATACCTTGATGTTATAGGGATTAGATATTATATTCGTCAGCATTAAACTCTCAAAATTCAGTGTGGTACTTCTGCTTAGATTAAGTCACTAATTATTCTTAGTAAATAAGTTTATCACAAATGGGGTTAAAAATCTGGAAATAATAAAAAGGACAAAAGACTGCTCAAAATGGATCATGGGAAGAGACATCCCACAATGAACATAGCCAGCAGCTTTATAGATCTTTGAAATCAGAGGCTGCGTTTCAGTCAAAGCAGTACCTTCTAATAGCCGGGAACCTTTACCTAAAATAAATAAGAATTCTAGATGGGAAGCAAATGATTTGAAACTCTACCCACCTATCACCCCCCTCCTTCACGATGTCCCCTTCAGGAGCTTCAGCAGCTCCTCAGAATTATCTTAGAAAACACTGAAAGGTTTCTGGACTTAGCTACCAAGCATCTGTTCTCGCTGCAGGGGCAAGAATGTGCCACACCACACTCTCTGGTGCTTATTTGCACAGTCAACATATATACACTTATTGAGCTCTCAGGATTTGCCGGATACTGTTCCTGAGGTCAGAGCTACTGACATAAACAAAATAGTTTCAGCCCTCAGAGTTTATATTCTTGTTAAAGAGGGTGAAACAAGAAAACAAAGTAAAAATAGCTGATGTCAGACAATCAGTGGTACAATAAAACAAAGCAGGAGCAGGCATAAACAGCACTGAAAGCTGCTATTTATTACAGTGGTACCGTTGGATTTGAAGGGTGTGAGGATGCAGGCCATGGGAACATCTGGCTCTCCACATCCATTCTTGAAGGAAAATAGCTGTAGTTAATGCTGAAGACTGGATGAAGTAAGCACACCTGTGGAATCAAGATCCAGCCTGCCCACCCATGTGGGGCAGTTGGTGGGTAGTCAGAGGAGGCAGATCCCAGAGCTTCCATGTTAAAGACTGCACATAATGAAACAACCCTTCAACTTACAAAGACTGGTTACCATTCATCAGCTTTTCTTAGCTGTGTATCAACCATTAAGACTATAAATGACAAGACTCACAGGTCATGTCCATATGACACGTAAAAAGTATGAAGTTTCTGACAAGTGAAGATACAAATCCTTCCCCTTTTTTGAAGGTCATTGCCATCCTTAGAATTCAAAATTATAATAAAGATATCTTTATCTCTGACACATTTAAGATAACCTTTCTCCAGCTTCTACATATAAAGAACACTGGCCAATGAAAACTTAAATATGCTATATTCTGCCAGGGGAGTTCAAGCACAAATGAATAAAATAAGTATCAGTTTATGCTTATTAAGTATGGAACAACTGAATAAGAACTGACTCAAGACTTAAGAAATTTGAGATATAACTGGTCCATTAAAATAAATTTTTTTAAATGTCTGGTTAATAACCCTGGGCAAAGCACAACCTTTCTAGGTCTCAGTTTTCTCACGTGTAAAAGGAGGGAATTAAACTGCTGACTTTTAGGTTCACCTGTAGTTCATTTTGAAAACTTTAATTTGGAGCACATTTATAAGCCTAAAAAGGCTGAAGCAGAAGAAAAGCAGCTTTTGGAATAAAGGTAAGTAACGCTTGGCTATGAAATTATAACTGCCTCCGACTCCTTTCATAACTTAAAACAATGATATCAAGCACTACCCACCATCCTTCCTGGACAGTAGTCTCCTCAGAATGGCCCTAGCTCTAAGCTCATCTCTTTGTGCCATGTGAGCAATCACTAAGCTAAGCTACCCAAGAGTCCACCATCTCTACCCTTCCCCTTGCTCTACCTCTCCCTTCATCTCTCTTTCCCTCTGGTGCTCTAACTCTCTGTGTGTAGGTCACTCCAACCCTTCTTCTTTCTCCATTCTCACATTACTACTACCACACATAATTCCAGACATCATCATTTCACTCACAGAAATGCAGCAGCCTCCTGGTCAGCCTGTCTCTTCAGACTCCCAACTATCCCTGACCAGAAGGTGTTCCTATTAAGTCTAAATTGCCTGATCTCTATCAGGGAATTCAAGACTTTTACAGTTGACCCCAACCCAGTTCTTCACTCTGAATTCCACTTTAATATACCTATGCTCCTCTTGCATTGAACTCTATAGAGCCTCAAAGTTCTGGAGTCCTTAGATTGTGATTGCCTGCCCCTTGGGTGAAACAGTGCTGGTTGTTCACACAAAATCCATTCCTCATATTCTCCATGCTAAGAGAAGCTCAGTTCTGTCTGGCATTGACTCAAGGACTGATCTGCTCTCTTACCCTGGAGTATGTCAAAACCAATTTGTAATCAGTTCTCACCAATAAGACACAGGGTCCTCAGCAAGGTTCCTGGAAAAGACTTTAATGCTTCTCTTTTAGCTGGCCACTATCACATCTAGAACTGTGGCCATCATCTCATAACCACCAAGGGAGATTGGTAAGAACACATCTGCCAAATTGAGGATGGCAAAGTAAACGAGCAGAAAGAATCAGGGTCCTCGAGCAGCTCTCCAACATTAGAATTATCTTTGAAATAATAAAATGTCTTTATGAATCTGAGAATATTTTTATTTGCAGCCAAAACATTCTATCATATACTCTGCTAAAAATCTTACCCTTAAAAGACTTAGACACATCAAGCTCCTCCTGACCCAGCCTGAAGTTAACTTCTTCCTTCTCTGTGATTCTACTGAACATTTTAGCAGATTCTATTACAAATTTATTACAATGTATAGTAAAATTTTTACATCTATATTCCCCAGTAAGACATGGGATAAGGAAAAGGCATGCTTTTCACCTCTGCTTATACCTCTCTCCTAAGCTCCAGACTTACATACACAACTAATTCCATTTCTCCAGTCGAGGTCTTGCAGAAATAAAATTGGCAAAGGCAAGCTGGACAGATTCCCCTCCCCATGGCAGCAATGACATCACATGCTAATTCCTCTCTTCCCACGCTTCATGTATAACCTATCAGAAAGCCCTATTGGCATTAACCCAAATGTATATACTAAACTTTCTGACTTCTTATAATCTCCACTGTCATTCCCTTAATTCAGGCCACGATGGTATCCTTCTCCTGTCACAATAAACAGTTGTTAGTGATGGCTCTGCTCTTGCCATATAGTCTCTTATGAAGCAGCCAGGACTGATCTTTTTTTTTGGGGGGGGGTTACCAGGGATGGAACTCAGGTCCTTGCGCTTGCAAGGACAGTGGCAGAACCACTGAGGTAAATCTCCGGCCCCAGGGTGATCTTTAAAGCAAAAAATCCAAACATGTCTTTCTAGTGCTTTTAATCCTTTCAAAATTTTCCCACTACTCTTAGGTATTCAGTGGTCTCCAGGTTCCTTCTAACCTACAAACATACTGGGCTCATCCAGTCAGAGCCTATATACTGTCTGTCAGAATATTACTTGGCTGCCCCCTCCTCACCATTACATTTTTGTTTTTGTTTGTGTACTGAGGTAAATCTCCGGCCCCAGGGTGATCTTTAAAGCAAAAAATCCAAACATGTCTTTCTAGTGCTTTTAATCCTTTCAAAATTTTCCCACTACTCTTAGGTATTCAGTGGTCTCCAGGTTCCTTCTAACCTACAAACATACTGGGCTCATCCAGTCAGAGCCTATATACTGTCTGTCAGAATATTACTTGGGCGCCCCCTCCTCACCATTACATTTTTGTTTGTTTGTTTGTTTGTTTGTTTTCCCAGTACTGGCAATTGAACCTAGAGCCTTCAGGCTGAGGTGCATCTGTACCTCCAGCCCCTTTCTTCTTTACTTTTAATTTTGAGAGAGTGTCTTGCTAAGTTGCTCAAGCTGGCTTGAACTTGTTGAGCCTCTTGCCTCAGCCTCCCAGAGTTCTGAGATTATAAGTATGCACCACTAACCTTGGTTAGCATTCAGATTTGAATTAAAATCAGTTCTCAAGACTGGTGAGGACTGCCCAGCTGTATGGTACCCCTGCAACATCATCCCTCACCCCCTGCTCTTGGGCCTCCTGGTTGTGCTGGTACCTGGATCCACATTGCAGAGGTACAGGTGGTCATAAAGGCCTTTGCACTGAGCTCCAGAAGATAGAACAGAAGTGAATACCTAGAATAAAGGTATACCAGACCTCTGTAATTGGTAAGTTGAAGAGATCACTACTTTCCATCAGAACTTGAAATATCTTCAGGGGAAGGTAGCTGAAACCTGCCATAGAACCTTGCAGAGTTCAACCCTGCAGGTCAGGGAGCTCAAGTTGGGCCTTGCAGCCAGAATTCAGCCTGAATCTCAGCAGTCTACCCTTGGCTAGCTGAGACTATATGACTTGGTCCTACACATTGCTGCCCACATTGTCTACTGTGACGGCAGAGATACACCCTGAAAGAGTGTATTTTAAAATTTTTTTAAAAACTTACTTTTATTATTTTAAATTTTATTTATTTTAAAATTTATTTAAAATTTTATTTTAAAATTTTATTTTTTCCCAATGTCTTGCTCACCCACATTGTTATCTCCCTTTTTGTTCCTATTCCTGCCCTAATTCAGATTTCTTCTTTCTCTTTTCTTTTTCCTTCTGTCCAGTGTTATTAGTTTCAAAGGAAAGTGAGTACAATTTATAGCTTCCCTATTACTGTTAAGTTGTTCTACTGTTGTCTTTGTTCTTGCACTGTCTTTCCTTCCCTCTTAACTTCAACAGTTTTCTAGAGTTTGTGTGATCATCCTGTGTTCTCTCTGGCTTCACTTGAAACGTTCTCTTATCCTTCTACCTATCTATTCCTGTCCTCCCAACTCCTTCTATGTCCCCATCCTGAAGGGTAAAGTTGCTATATTGAAGAGTTTATTCATTATAAACATATTTTGGGCTGGTCCTCAATTTTTATTTCATTCACATGGTTAAAGGTGATAGATCAATAACCCCCACAAATGGTCAATTTCTAACCTGTGCTTGATGCTGTGTTGCTGATTGTATCATCAAATGGTCTAAAGGGTTGTGACTGATTAATAAGTTGTCCTTTCTGATATTATAAAAATAAGAGTTTCTGAGTCATTAGAGACTGAAAACCTAAAGAGCAGCTATATCAGGAAGATCAAACTACTAACCCAGGAATTAAACCAAGGACAGCACCAACAAAAAATAAAAATGAGAAAACACTTAAGCAAGGCACAAATACAGACTTACAGTTCACCAATGGCAAATTCTAGGGGAAACGAGAAGTCTGACAATCAACCACCAGGACACCCTGAACTCATAGGACAGGAAGTAACAAAACAGATGAATCAGGCTCTAGAAAATTCAAAACAGAAATAATTTCCCAAATAAGTACAGAGATTGTGAGCAGAATGAAAGACATGATTAGAGACTCTAGAACAGAAACAGACAAAAAAAAAAAAAGATGATTTCAGAACCGTGATAGAAGCCATGAATGTCCAGCTTAGGAAAGAAATGGAATCCATGAAAGGGATTCAAACAGATCCAGATTTAAAATTCTATTAAAAGCATTTGCAGCAGAATGAATTAATGTGAAGATAGAATTTCAGACACAGAGGACAGGATCGCTGTCAGTGACCATGAAATGAGAGATCTCTTAAAAACATAAGGGATCATGAGAAATCGATACAACTTTTAGATGATGCAAAGAAGAGTAAGACTGATAGGAATCCATAAAATAGCAGGAGAAAGTACAAATGACATAAAATCAGTTCTCTGAAGATCCTCAACAGACCTAGAAGAGTGCCCTTTCAGAACCCAACACCTGTACCCAATTGTGCTCCACACAATCTTCAAATACTGAAGTTATTTTATTTATATTATTGTAGATATTGTCTTTTTTTTTACTTCTCACTAGCAAGTAAATTCCTTAAAGAGTTCTATCAGTCATATTCATTGTTGTACGAATGCTGCCTAAAATACAGATAAGTATTTCTTGATAGTCTTATTCTGCTTATGTCTTTGAATCCACAGTAGCTAATACTCAGGAAGTACTCAATAATTGGTGAATGAAAGCAATCTGCTAACTGGAAATTTTTTCATTACGTTCCTTTCACAAGCAATTTCAATGAAAGATATAAATGTCCCAATGCTAAATCTATACTTACTACTGAACAATGACCAGTTGAGGATGATTGATTCTTCTCTGGTAGCAGCAACAGTGATTTCACATTTTCATTGTCTGTACAATCCACGGGCCGCAGACCAAATATGTTACTGATAAAATAAGTGCAGATGGGTTTAAGTAAATAAAATGTGACTTGATTCTTACCAAAATAAATGTACTGGTGGAACAGTTTTTTTAACACCCTTAATGATACACAACTTTAACTAAATGATTCAGAACTCACAATAGGCATAAGCACTGAATATCACTAGCTGCTGAATTCAACAGAGAAAAGATGTGAAATTTCAATTTAACATTAGATCATTATAGAGTATTTTAAAATATATTTTAATCAACATATGAATTTTTATACAATTCTGCATTCTTCTGTATTCCTATTCATATTTCAAAATATAATTTCGTAATCATTAATCATTATGGATGGGATGTTTTCACATGGAAATATAAGTCATCTTCTAAAGCTATTACAGGCTTTATAGTCTGTATAAACAAATACAAGATTAGATAAATTCACAGGATAAACATTTAGATCCATGAGAAGGAAAACTACCACATGATAAACATTAAAATAGTGAACAGGGAGCATTTTAAAAATTAATTTCAATGTGTATAATCTACAATAACCACAACCATACTTTACAGACAACAAAAACAGAAAGGAATAGGCTCCAATGACTTGGACTAAGATCACATTTTCCTTGTTTGTTCCATTAATATTCCATATTGCTCATATTTAGTCTTGTAGTTATAAGTAAACTGTTAAAATTAGAAGACTATCTACTATTATACTGCCTTATACAGTAGTATCATGGTACCCACTGTTAATTGGTTCCAGGAGGCACAGAGTAGGAAACAAATTGTACTAAACAAACTGTTTTGGCTGGAAAAAGTAGTAAGTCATGAAGGAATCCACACCAACAAGCTCTGGCTTGCATGTTGCACACCAAATTCAACGAGTTTAAAAGCAGTTGAATATCAAGGTATGTGTGACTGTACATGGCTTCAATATATTATTTTAAGATAGTATACTATGGCAGTTAAGTTTTTAAAATGAACATCTATTTATAATCTTTTATGGTTTTTGATGCTATGATATAAATATAAAATGTGATAGCTATCATTACAGTTCAAGAGGGCTGGGGATGTATTTCAGTGAGAGATACCTTGCCAAAGCCCTGGGTTCCTTCCATCTACAGTATCACAAATAAAAATTTACACAAGGGCCACGAATTTAGCTCAGTGGTGCCACTGCCCTTGCAAGCACAAAGACCTGAGTTCAATCCCCAGTACAAAAAAAAAAGAAAAAGAAAAAGAAAAATGCAATGTGTTAAACAGAATATAAATAATAAACATGGTGAAATACAGATTTTATAAACTATTGAGTGTGTAGAAAAAGGTCCACAAGGAAACAGTGATACATAAGGAAAAGAAGGAAAGTGTCAACTGATACTGCACAGAGGTCACATACACGAGGGATGTAAGCCCCTACGAAGTTGAGAGACAAGGTCATCACTGGCCATCACTTTGATGGCACAGTGGGAAAAAAAGCTAGTGATTAGGATAAGAAATGGGTCACAACAAAATGCGTTTCAATGACTGTTATTCATAACCATCAGGTTCAGTCACTCCTTTTTTTTGGACAGTGCTGGATAAATGCTGAAAAGTTTGTATGTATTCTCAAATTCCACTGTAAGCTCAGGTCAACACTGTTTTGGCAAAGTCCTCCAGCCAAAGAAAATTGCAATTGATTGCATTTCAGCTTCCTGGTTTATCACAAAGTAACAAAAGTCACTGTTCACAAAGAGAGCAGACAATCTCAGAATATTTCAGAAGATTTTCATTCACCTTATTTGATAATTCCCAATTTCACAATCTAAATCATTATGCTCACATACCAGTAATACAATCTCCTCACACATATATGCTATCAATATGAAAATCCAAAAAGAGAAATCTTGAGTTAAAGAACCAATATTCTAGTTCTTAAACCATCAAGGGCAAAATGGATAACAAGAAAAGGGTTACAACAACATAAGGGCATTTTCACAAACTGATTTTATACCTCAAAGAAAGAAAATGCCAATCAAGTGCATTTTTAATGCACAGTAAGTGGATGACATCAGTATAGTTATTTTAAACAAACACACATAGAAGTCCATAACAACATGAAAACCCATTAAGTCAAAATGCTCCTCCAAGTATCATCAGCTACTCAGCACTTTAAATCAAAAAATAACAGAACAATTATCTGAACCAGTCAGGAGCTTTTGCCTTCTAAAGAAGTGTTTTGTAAAATGACAGGCAGGATTACTATTTACATGTAGGACCCTTACTACACAAAGTGTACTATCTCCTACATCCTTAGAGCATGTAGTGTCTCCACATAGATTACGGATGGCTTCTGCTTATACAAAAGTTGCTTTAGCTCTTCTGTACTGATAGCAAATTAAAGAGTGGTATGTTGTAAATGCTACAGATGACAGATAATCAATTAAAACAGCCCTACATCATGGGAGAAGGAACCAACTCAATTATCACATTGCTTATGCTTTGTTTTCAACCACTCTACTGTGGAATCAGACAGTTTACATGTAGAAAAACCACAGCAATAGATGGGGAATATCTAAGATCTCTTCTTTATTATGTGGGCATAAGAAAGGTGTGCTTTCTTCTTACAATGATTTGACTGGACTAACATATTGGTTATAGGTCTAGTGTGAAAAATCAATTCAAAATGCACAGAATTATATTTCCTTTGTAAAAAAAATATTTACTGAAGATACTAAGGAAGAACAAAGACAAATCACACATCACAAATATCAGGCACTACCAATGTGATGGTTAACTGCAGACAGTGATAAATCAGTTATTCTCCATCATTATATTAAGTTTTTTTTTTTTTTAAAGATTTACTGCAACATAGTTGGGCAAAGTGACAAACACTTGTAATCCCAACACTCAGGAAGCTGAAGAAGGAAGACCACCACAAGTTCAACGCCAGCCTAGATACATAGTGAGTTCAAAGCCAGCCTGAACTACTACTACACAGGGAGATCCTGTCTGGAAAAAAAAAAAAAAGTTTACTGCAACAGCATGAACTCAAGAATAAAATCAATGCTTTGCTACTTTATTAGACTGTGTTACAAAGAAAGATTAGAGAATAATTTTTTTAAAAATGTAATTATAATATGTGCTGTTATTTTCTGGCATTAAACCTAAAGCCTTAACACTCAAATTAGATATTCTGGAAAGCTATTTTAAGATAGAAAACAATGCCCTTGCCTATGATCTTACTGAGGACAAATTCTCATTAGTAAGTATCAAACGGGTAAGTCTAAACCAAAGCACAAGTAGTAAGATGAAATGTGGATAGATTCCCAAGAAGGTGAAGAACACAGCAGTAAATGAAATGGTCTGGAGCCCGGGACTAGAAACTGGGATACTGAGATGAAGGTGAAGAGCCTGAGTAAGGAATCTCTACACTGCTCAAGTGTATGGGTCTGATGGAAGTTCTATTAAGCTAAATAAAGAGTTGAATCACTTGGTGTTCAAGTGCAGGGGGCAAATACAACACAAAAAAACAATAAAAATCAGCATAAGGCAATGCACTAGAGCTAGAGGTAAAGACAGAGCACAGCTGTGAAAATCCACAGACACGTGTCTACTAGCTTAAACTATATAGGTCAACGCAACACCAATATATTTAAAGACATTATCAGGATATAGAAAAATGTCAACATCTTAACTACTAAATTTACATGCAGTTCATGATAACGTATTAACTTTCACATGGACCGCTTTTGACAATTCAGTTCTTTAATGACCTATCAAAAACAGACACCTAGAATTCGGTGAATTTTTACATGATTATATATAAATAATATACTTTATATATAGTAAATCCCAAGAATTACATTTTCTTTAGGTTACCAAAGTATTTTAAATGATCTTTAACCAAGAGGATACCCTTCAATTACATTTTTTTCCCTATTTTTTTACAATACAGTGCACTGGAAGATTATGAGTTCTTTTTTCCTCTCTAACGTATTCCTGCCATATTTCTTTTGCTGTGATTTTAAATCATAGTTCAGAAAATGTTTCATATAAAAACCTTTAAAGACACAGATTATAAATTTTTAAAACCTTAACAGAAGATCTAAGTGTTCATAAGATTCTATTTATATGGCCAGGGATTTAGCTCAGTGGTGCAGTGCCTGCCTCTCAAGTACAAGGGTCCTGAGTTCGATCCCCAGTACCAAAACATACATACATATAAGATAAATATTTCGCAACTAGCAACAAGTATTTATCTGATATACAAAAAATGAGTATACATGTTTGTACACACAAAGTTATAAACATTGCTTTTTAATCAGTTTGAAGACTATTAACTCATTAAATAAGTCCCTGTTTTCTTTGTGGGGACAGGGGGGAGTTGGTACCAGGGATCAAACTCAGGTCCTAGCACTTGTGAGCCGGGCAGCGGCACCACTAAGCTAAATCCCCAGTCCAAGTCTCTTTTCTTAATGTGCCAAAAATTCTTTCAGGTGTTAATGGACCCATGCCACAAAAAGTTGTTTCTGTCTTCATGTAACTCAGGGAGCAAAACAAAAAGATGCACATAAAGGAAAAGTGAAATCTAGTGACGCTTTTCAGAGCTTTCTGGAAAAGGAAAGAGACAAGTGTATGAAGGCCTTTGAGTGTAAAAGCATGGCAAATCAGAAATATATATATTTTTAATACATA